AAATGAATTAAAAAAAGAAAAATTGACAAAAAAAATAACTTCTGACGATATTTCTGCAAAAATAAACTGTCTGACGTTCCAGTTCTTAATAAATGATGTCGCATACAACTGAGAAAATTTGATCTGAATCGTTCGTAAAAAACAGGTTTATGTTGTTTGCACGAGAATCCCTCTTGTGAGTCATGAGACATCTCAGAAGCGTTTTTAATGCTTCGCTCGATTAAGCTTAGCTAGCTAGATACTACGAAGTAAAGGACCCTGTCGGATTTGATGACCATATATAAACCCAGTATGCCATCATGAGAAGATGGCAAGAGCAGCTTGAGGCGCGTCGAGTGGTATATATGAAACCATGTTTTCATTAATTTTGGACGAACTAGAGTCAATATACTGGTGGAGTGCTATCTGCACAATCAACAATGATCAATGGCTGATCAATTTTACCCCAGTGTCAGTCGAAGAAGTCTATGAAAAATATTTCTTATGTGTAGTTTCGTAGAGCTTTTCACGGGCTATAAGCTCTTATATCTAACATCTCCGACCGTCTCATCTTAACAGAGAAAAGGGCGATTTTTCATCGACTTGGCATCATCTTTCACGAACAGTTGACCATGATGGGTCTCAATCTATTGAGATATGTCAATCACAGAAGATGTGACCATACGCCAAACCTTGTCATAAATTGCGCACGAGATAGAGCTACAAAACACACCATTTAGAAGTTCTTTAACAGGAGGGCATGATACCCAAAATTGCCTTGTATTGAAAATTACTAATCAGTTTTTAGACCCATCTTCCTCTTTTAATTTCGTAAAATTTCATTTTTTTGTCCAACCATATCCCTTCTCTAAATCTAAGACCGTATTCGTGATCAGCGAGCAAAACTGCATCAGATGGGACATATTCGAAGATTCCAGTGTGTAATCACCCTTCCTGTACTCGTCAAATTCTAGTAATGGCTTTCTTCTCTTGAAATTTTTTAAGTTTTGCAACCCTACTTACATATCTTCAAACGAATGTGTAGATATGTAGAAGAACATTTTCCGTTGATTTTCATTTTTCGGTAAAAATCGCAGTAAATTATTCGGCGTGAAAATTCGAAAAAAATAAACGTGGTCGAAAAACTTTGAGACATATATCATTCGACTTAGTTTTCGACGCTGATTCCGAATATGATGGATAAAAGTGAGCTCTGGTTGAAAAAATAGAAAACCTCATGCAGAATTTCGATGTTTTCGCTCCTGATTTAGAAAAAAATGTATTTTCTTCGTAATAAAGCGAAACAAAAAAAAACGCGATTCGTTCTTTTAAAGTTCGTTTAGTGGCGCTTCAAATGAACTAAAGAGGTTGGTCACAAAAGAAACTACTAGTAGATAGGTTTGTAAAACTTAAAAAATTTCAAGAGAAGAGAACCATTATTAGAATTTGACATATGACGAGAACAAAACTGTATTATCTCTCAAACTCTTTAATAAATTTCTTAGTTTTCCACCAGGACTTGTTTGCAGCTGACTATCTATAGCTTGTTTAATAAAATCGATAAATACCGGTGTTATTTTACCCGAATCATCCAACTGTTTAATATCATCTCCGTTCATTACAAATGCTAATATTTTATACGCATACATCTGTATCGGTTTACATTTTGCATTTGTTAACGTCATAAACGTTTGAGTGTTGTGATTGGCTTCGATGTAAGCGATGAGCTCTGAATCGTCGTCCCCAATGGTGATAAGAGCCGTTTCAACGTTCTGTTCTTGTTCAAGAACCTGCATTTGTAGATTTGATGAGTTCAAAATCGTCATGATTGATACGATAATTTTTAAATGGCTGTTGAATCGTTTTCGTATTGAATCAAATTCTCCAAATCGTCGTAAGACGTAACTGATATATTGAGCAGCTTTCATCATTGCTTCAATTAGATATGATTTGCGTTAACTGACATAGAACTTGTTCAAAACGTTTTAACATTGTATCACCTAGTTTATTCGCCAATTTTTCAGTGTATGTGCCACGATAAATCGAAAAATAATTTGGACACGTAATAACAAGAAATTCTTCCTGAATAGTTAGCGTTTTCGTCGCTTTTAAGTTTGTGAGTATAGTGAGATAATTTATTGAACAGACACATTTGTAACTTGATCCAGTAGTGTTAATAGATTTTCATCGTCCCTTATGTTAAGTAGGCCGTCTTGAAGAATATCGAATATAAACAAAAGTTTACTAACGCCATTGATTACATCACAATTAACAGTGGATAATTTAGGTAATATATGTCCAACGAAATTACCTATTGACTCAATAAAGGCTTTATTCATGAGTAAACGTTTAAACGCTGTAACGTTTTGCTCATCGATTACAGTTATCTTGCTGGATAACAAATCAGTTATGGATTTAAACAAACGTATTTCTTGTTCGGATAACGTTGACCATTTATTGAGTATCTGAGTGAGTACGGTGATCATAACAGAGAATATTTCAAGTGATATTTGATTTGAATTCTTTAATTTAGACCAAAATGACGTTAATTGTCTAATTATTTCACATAATGTCTCTGATGATTCATTTTTGTTCCAATCAAGAAAGTAATTTTCTAGTTGGTTGGAACTACCTTTAGTAGGCAATATTGTACTTCACTTGCAGCACCAAAAGTGGAAAACATATACTACTAATGTGACCACGAGGATAGTCCTTTTTTTATAAATCGATTTCGGGTTGGGACTATTTTTGTTAGAACGGCTCTAACAACTAGTGAAATATTCCAACTTGGTTCATCCCCATGGTGTTTTTTTGCTGAGATACTGAATTTTTAGTCAGTTTTTGTCTATAGAGCTTGGATTTCGAGCGAGAAGGTAAGGATGAGGGTCAAATATTCGAGTCTCAACATCTCAAAGCAGAAAAACTCATTAGCATCGAATATTTTTCCGTCGTACTACTGTGACCATGGACTACAAGTGTGGCAACTTTGAAATCAAAATTCGAAAGTCGGATTTTGCTGGAAATTCAAGCTCTATATCATACGCCTCCATTTTCTGTTCTCATGCGCTCCAGTCCAAAGTTTTTTCTGTTCTCATCCGCTTCTGTCCAAACCTTTCTATTCCTAAGTATCCGACTTCTCATTGGTTATTTTTAACATGTCATATTTTTTTACTTACATACACTGAAGAAGATATTCAAAATGCATTTATACGTGTGAAGTTTTGTAAAAACTGTTCACTCTACAAAATGTGATAGCTTTTCAAGTTCAAAACTATTCGAATTAATCTGTATTAATCAAAGAAAAACCAGAAAACTGATTGCGCTTATTTACAAAAAACGGTCAAAAGCATCACAGCGTTACCGTTTTTCTAATTTTTATTTGATAAATACAGATTAACTAGAATAGTTTTTACCTTGAAAAGCTATCGCATCTTGCAGAGCAAACAATTTTCGACAACTGATGCACTTGTTCCGTTTTCGCCGACTCTTTTAGACACGTTGTAAGGAAACTTTGTATCATGTCTGCTTGGCATCAACTATATCAATAAACATAAATTAGTCCCAAATACTGAGACCGGAAGTAGTATTTTGACCTTATTCTTTTAGCCAATCTGGTGTGGGACAACTTGTCACACGATTTTGAACCTTTTTTACAAGCTTCAGTTTGAAGCAGTTGGAGTTTCTTCTCTACAGTTTCCAGATCTGTTCAGAATCTTCATTGCTACCAAGACGTCGAAAGCTTTTATTAGGTATGTTTTCTATTCTAGATGAAGTCAGATGAACTTAAGTGAAGCGTATTTGTGCTTTTAACTTCAAGAATTATATACCGTTTGTTATTCTAAATGAGTAAGTCACAAAACAGTGTTTATGAGGTCAGTATTTTCTGAGTGCTTCTCCGTCGTTACAATAGCTGATCCGACAGTATCGTTTATAAGTTTATTTTTGTCAATACCATCATTCGAACCAATGACATCATCAACAAGTATTGCCTCTCCTATATCATGTGCTGGCCAAATTTTCCATAACAACCAATAAAGACTTAAGCCAATAATAAATGAATTTAACCAGCCAACATAAAAAATATAAATAGCATTACCAACTTTAATTGATTGTGATATTTGCTGAAGGAATCCTGGTAAATTAGGTGTTGTACCACAAATCAAAGCTACATATGCACGCCAATGCCATCCTTTCCAATACCAATATTTTCCATGTGGTTGATAAAGTTCCGGTGTTTGAATTCGACCAATATGACGAACAAGCCAAAAATCAGAAACCATAACCCCAGCAATTGGACCAAGAAAAACACTATAACTACTCATAAATGCAAGAAAACCTTGTGCACTACTAAGTATATACCATGGTACACATACCCATGCTAAAAGACTTGCCACAAATGAACCACGACGAATATTAAATATTTTAGGAAACATAGCTGAAAGATCGTTCGCTGCTGATATGGTATTTGCTGATATATTTGTACCGAGTGTAGCAAGTGCAAATGCAAAAGCAGCAAAAAATTTTGCTACTCTTGATTCAAAATGTCCAATCAAAATTGTTGGATCCCAAATAATACCTTCATTGTAAGATGCACCCAGGGCAGCCTTGCAGTGAAATTTATTTTTCGACACTTCATACACCATTCGATAGAGAATTTCGCGGTGATCACGAATATCACTTCCAAGG